ACTCCAACTCAAAAAAAAAAAAAAAGAAAAAAAGAAATTAGATTTTATTATTCTCCTGGTGCGCTGGCATATAGAATTATATCCTTGTCCTCAGATAATCCCAATAATGTTTTCTTTGGTTCATTGTTTCACCAAAACGTGTAGTTTCTGTGTACAGATCATCACCCAAAATGGCCCTTGATTTGTACTATTTCGTCGTTGTTGTTTTTGGGGTCTCACTCTTTTGCCCAGGCTAGAGTGCAGTGGCATGCTCACAGCCACCGCAGCTTTGACCTGCTGGGCTCAGATGATCCTTCTGCCTCAGTCTTCCAAGTAGCTGGAACTACAGGTGCGCACTACCAGGCCCAGCTTATCTTTTGCTTTATTGTAGAGACGAGGTCTGGCCAAGTTGCCCAGGCTGGTGTTGAACTCCTGAGCTCAGGACACCCTCCCACCTCAGCCTCCCAAAGTGCTGGGATTACAGGCTTGAGTCACTGCACCTGGCTGTACTATTTTTGGACACAGGATCTTGCTCTGTTGCCCAGACTAGAATGCAGTGGCACGATCATAGCCCACTGTAGCCTCAAACTCCTGGGCTCAAGTGATCCTACTGCCTCAGTCTTCCGAGTAGCAGAGATTACAGGCACATGCCACTATACCCAACTTTTATTTTTTATTGTTTGTTTTCTCATTGTCATATTTTTTATTCATTTTTTTAATAATTTAAACTTTTTTTAAATTATAAAGATGTGGGGTACATTTCAGGGTTAGGTATACAAACGTTGATTATGTAGGTAACCTTGTCGATGAGGTATGCCTCTCCCTCCCCTATCAGTTTCCCTCAACTGTCAATCCCAACCCTCCCTCCCCTGAGTTTCCCACTAGGGATTCCCAGTTTGCCAATCCCTTTCTTATGGTATTATAATTGTTCGGCCGGGCTCAGTGGCTCAGCCTGTATTCCCAGCACTTTGGGAGGCTGAGGCGTGTGGATTGCCTGAGCCCACGGGTTCGAGACCCGCCCGGGCAACTTGGGGAGACCTCATCTCTACAATAAATCAAAAATTAGCTGGGCATGGTAGCACACGCCTATAGTTCCGGCTACTTGGGAAGCTGAGGAAGGATTGCCAGAGCCCGGCAGTTGAGGCTGCGGTGGCCAGGAGCATGCCACTGCACTCCAGTCGGGGCAACGGAGTGAGACTCCAACTCAAAAAAAGAATGTCCACTCCCATCCCTGACCTCCTGGGGAAGGAACAGGGGCTGAAGTTTGACTTGATATACCAATGGCCAATGACATAATCAATCCTGCCTACATTATGAAGTTTCTATAAAAAACAAAACGATTAGGCCGGGCACGGTGGCTCAAGTCTGTAATCCAAGCACTCGGAGGCTGAGGCAAGAAGATTGCCTGAGTCCAGGGGTTCAAGACCAGCCTAGGTAACTTGGTGAGACCTTCTCTACAATAAATCAAAAAATTAGTCGGGTGTGGTGGCATGTGCCTGTAGTTCCAGCTACTTGGAAGGCTGAGGTGAAAAGATCGTCTGAGCCGGGCTCGGTGGCTCAGCCTGTAATCCCGCGCCTTTGGGAGGCTGAGGTGAGCGGATTGCCTGAGCCCGCGCGTTCGAGACCCACCTGGGCAACTTAGCGAGACCTCATCTCTACAATAAATCAAAAATTAGCCAGGCGTGGTAGCGTACGCCTGTAGTTCGTTACTTGGAAGGCTGAGGCGGAAGGTCAAGGCTGCAGTGGCTGTGAGCAATGTGTCACTGCACTCCAGCCTGGGTGACAAAGTGAGGCTAACTCAAAAAAACAGGACTGAGTTCTGAGAGCTTCCAGAAAGTTGGACATGGAGATTCCTGAAAGGTGGTTTGCTCAGCTTGTATATTCTCCCATACCTCATTCCTTCCATCTGGCTATTCTTCTGTATTCCCTGGAGGATGCTTTATAGCGTTTCTGAATTTTTTTTGAGCCAGTCTATTGTCCAGGTTGGAATGCAGTGGCACGCTCACAGCCACCTGCAGCCTCGACCTACTAGACTCAGGTGATCCTTCCGCCTTAGTCTTCCAAGTAGCCGGAACCACAGGCAGGTGCCACCAGACCTGACTAATTTTTCTTGATTTATTGTAGATGAGGTCTCACCAAGTTGCCCAGGCTGGTCTCGAACCCCTGGACTCAGGCAATTCTCTCGCCTCAGACTCCCAGAGTGCTTGGATCACAGGCTTGAGCTACCATGCCCAGCAGTGAATTCTATGAGCCCCACTCTAGGAAATTGATCGATCCCAGAGAGTGGGTCGTGGAAACCCCAGTGTATAGTTTGTTGGTCAGAAGCACAGGTAAGACAACCTGGGGCTCGCAATTGGCATCTGAAGTGGGGAGGGAGGGGTAGTCTTACAGGACTGATCTCTCAACCTGTGGGATCCCATGGTAGAACTTGCCAGATTTAGAGGACACCCAGTTGGTATCTCCTGTAGAAATCAATGCTTGTAATACAAGGGGGAAAACCCTACCTGCCTCTTAACTACAACTTATTAAACTCTGCTTCCCTCCTACCTGCTTCCATTTTCTTTTTTTTTTTTTTGCATTGGAGTCTCACTCTGTCACCCAGACTGGAGTGCAGTGGCCGCTCCCGGCCACCGCAGCCTCGACCTGCGGGGCTCCGGCAGTCCTTCCGCCTCCGCCTTCCAAGTAGCTGGAACTATAGGCGAGCGCGATCACCCCTGGCTAATTTTTTTAAATTTTATTTATTGTAGAGATGAGGTCTCACCACGTTGCCCCGGCGGGTCTCGAACCCGCGGGCTCAGGCAATCCACTCACCTAACTCTCCCAAAGGCACGGGATTACAGGCTGAGCCACCGAACCCGGCTCAGATACATAAATTTAAAACACCAGACTTTTAGTTTTATTTTGCAGGTTAACAGGTTAATTAATTAATTATTTTTTGAGTTGGAGCCTCACTCTGTTGCCCAAACTGGAGTGCAGTGGCACACTCCCGGCCACCGCAACCTTGACCTGCTGGACTATGGCGACCCTTCTGCCTCAGCCTTCCAAGTAGCTGGAACTACAGGCGCGTGCTACCACGCCCGGCTAACTTTTTGATTTATTGTAGAGATGAG